CAGACTGATGAATCCAACGTGAGCTGAGAGGTGCAGGAAGTCCTCCTCCTTACATGTTAGAGCAGTGATGAGAGTGAAGAGGCTCTGCAGCATGGTGTCAGTGAGAGCTGAGATGATCTGGAACTTGTAAAGTGACCTTACTGCTGACAGATTAGAGTTAAAGGAGGTGCTGGAGGAGTCCTTAAATACAATCACTGGCACGCAGAGGGACTGACTGGAGGAGGAGCTCTGAATTTGCATGAGTGGAAATACTTCTCACAGCATGTGTCTTTATTATATTTTATATGGCAGTATGTTACTGTGCTGCACTTTACTTAGACCTGTCTAAAGTTTTTGACACTGTGGATCATGACATCTTGTGTCATAAGTTCTCAGAAATTGTTTTTTTTTTTTCAGTTCAAACCATTGGTTGGTTCACTAACTATATCTCAGACCAGAGACAATGTGTTCAACATAATGGTATTTCCTGCAGTTGTTTAATGGTCAACAATGGTGTACCACAAGGCTCAGTCTTAGGACCCACCGTCTTTACAATCTACATAGGTATTGTAGGACAAATCATCCCTGATGCATCCGTATACTTCAATGCTGACAATACAGTTGTTTATTGTCAAGTTAAAACAAGATGCTAAGGTTTTTCAGCTTTTGTAATCTGCTTTCGACATCATCCAGTCAGATTTGTTCCATCTCAAACTTGTGCTAAATGCCGACAAAACCAAAGGGGTGCATTTTTTCAAACAGGAAGTCAGTCCCAGCAGTTCTTCTTTTGATTTTATCCTCGAATTGTGCTCCTATTGAGTTTGTCGATTCCTACAAATATTTGGGTATCTTGGTTGATTCACATATCTCTTGGAATACTTGGTAAAGAAATTGAAAGTAAAACTGGGTTTCTTTTTAAAAAACAGGTCCTGTTTAACTCTGAATGCAAGGAAATGCCTTGTAACTGTGACTTTCCTTCCCTCCACTGACTACGGTGACATTATTTACATGAATTCTCCTACAAGCACCCTGCAGATGTTGGATGCTGTCTACAATGATGCGCTAAGATTCATAACTGGCTGTAACTACCGTATGCACCACTGCACCCTGTATTCACTGGTTAACTGGTCGTCATTAACTTTATGCAGACTCTCTCACTGGTACATTTTCATCTTTAAATCACTTTCTTGGTCTACTGCCTTCATACATCTCCTCCTACATGTCATTACGTGAGTGCAGCTCTCTCAGGACATTATTACATACAGTGTCCCCTCAGTGCAGACTGAACTAGGCAACAGACTCTTCTCCTACTCCACTTCTGTTTCCTGGAATATCTTGCAAAAAGATCTGAAGCTCTCAACCTTGACCTCTCTAAGTGGCTTCAAACATCTGTTAAGTTCCTGGGGAAAACCAATGCAGACATGTTCCTGTTTTTAGTTTTCTACACCGCTTTACAATCTAGCTGTTCTTGTTTGGGTTTTTTTTTATACCATGTTCTTTCATTTGTTCCTCTCAATTTGTATGATTCCTTTCGTGAATGTCTATCGTTGTCTTTGTTGTCCACTGTTGTCCACTGTTGTCATCACTCTTTGTTAAAATTCAGGTCTCTCTTGTAAATGAGTTCCTGAAGCTTAATGGGATTAACCTGTATAAATAAAGATTGAATTAATATTAGTTAGCTTGTACCGGTTTCAGTACATGAAAGGCTGGTGATCATGTAATTGCCTGTGTGTGTTTTTTATCTTTTCCTTCTTTTTTAGCTGTTCTGTAGTGATCGTCAGCAACATTTAACCTTTTTACCCTACTAAAACAAACAACAAACAGCATTTATCAGTGTATTGTAGCTGTAGACGTGTATCTGTTGGTTAGAAAATTGAGAGATTTTTTTGAAGTGATGACAAATACGAATTACCTTTTTGTGTGATTTGTTGATTTTAAGCTTTCAAATTCATTCTTTGCTCATTTTTGAAAAACTCTTTCCTCACTATGTCCATTTTTAGTTTTAACTGATGCAGAGTTCAGTCATTGGGACAAAATAAACATTGCCTTTGACCATCCTGTCTTCTCACTGAAGTATTTTTTTCCAAGTAAACACACATCAACAGCCCTTTGTTCCAGGTCTGACAACCATCTAATCCCCTCACTGTGACTCTCACATGATGAGTAAAAACTCTCGGGCCTCGCAGCGCTCAGAGGCTGAACACAGCGGCGGGACTCCGTGAACTCTTTTTCTCTCTGTGCTGCAGCAAATATTCCCTCTATGATTCATTTCAGCTCGAGCCACTCTGAGCTAAAACTACAGGGAGAATCGTCTCCTACGAACTGAGAACATGGGTCAATATTTCTTAACAAAGAGGTTTCCGTGGCCGTGGTCGAAGAAAGACACAACACAGGATGAGACCAGCCCGCTCTTACCAAAGGTAAGTGTTTTACTAACGTCTGTTTTGTTCGAGCTTGACGTCTCTGTGGTGAAACACGAGGATCTTTCTGTGTCTTCAGTCAGGAGCTGCCAAAGAGGAGGATGAGGAGCTTGGCCCTGTCGTTAATGATTTTCAAACAGAAACAAACGTTGGTCAGGAAAACAACCCCACGTTTCCAAAAACCCAGCCGCACTACAGTTACTCTGTGACGGACTATTTCCTGAAGTTCTGTCTGTTTTTCGGCAACCTGGTGTTCAGCGTTCTGGGCCTGGTGGTTCTCTGTGTGGGAGTCTGGGGCCTGGTCAGCAAAGAGTCGTTTGCCCAGGAGAAGATCGGCACTCTCGGCACCGACCCGATGCTGGTGCTCTTGACCCTGGGCTTTCTGCTGGCCCTGCTCTGCCTGACAGGATGCGTTGGGGCCATGAGAGAGAACAGCTGCTTACTGAAGGTGTTCTCGGCCACGGTGCTGCTGCTCATCACAGCTCAGGTGTTGTTCGCCATTGTGGTCTACAGCTTGCAAGACCAGATCGAAGGCTACCTGCGGTCGGGGTTGTTGATGGCCATGGCACGCTATCAGGATGATTTGGATCTGAGGTTCATCACGGATGAGATCCAGTCGGGCCTGCAGTGCTGTGGGGCCGATACTTACCGTGACTGGGAAGTCAACATGTGAGTGGAGCTGACTTTCTTTAACTTTTCTAATACAAGCACTGAATTCAACATGCTCCCTAAGGTAGACTAATATCCTGATGCATGCTCAATCATCCAACAATGTACAGTCAGGTCATATGGACGATTTCTTTTTGTTGCTGGGATGTTTTGTACTTCATCCAAAGGATTTCTTCAGTCTAAGTGTGGGCGGCCGTGGTGCAGTGGTAGTGGCAGCCGACCTCTGATCGGAAGGTTGGAGGTTCGAATCCCGACTTCCCACACCATGTGCCGTTGTGTCCCTGGGCAAGACACTTAACCCCGAGTTGCTCCCGGTGGGACTGGATGGCGCCTTGCATGGCAGCCTACCGCCACCGGTGTATGAATGTGCGTGTGAATGGGTGGATGGCTGGTACTGTAAAGCGCCTTGGGGCCCCTCATAGGGGGCTGGAAGGCGCTATAGAAGTAAGCTCCATTTACCATTTACCATTTAAGTCCCACAAGCACCACACTCTCATAGTGGAAAAAAAAAAATGTTTGCTGGTGATAAGATGGTTTCTGGGGCCCGCCCTTTCCCCCATCAACTCCTCTGAGGCAGCCTTGCCAAAACGGTTCAAAACACCAAAGTTCACAGCACTCAGAGTGATACTAGCTAGCGGTCGCTCTGCCAGGGATGAAGATGTGCACATCCTTGATAAAGAGGAACGCTGGTTTTGAGGATGAAGTACCGTACTTTCCGCCATATAAGTCGCAACAGTCCAATTATATCTAATAAAGTGGAAAAAACATAAAGACGTCACTTCGCCGTATAAGTCGCGTCTACTATGCGTCACCGCTGACCACCCGGAAACGTGGGCCGGTGTTGTGCCAAAAATCGATTGGCTGCCAAATAGCTGCCCTTGGAGCATGCATGGGAGGACTTTAACAAGAATTTAACAAGATTAACACTGAAAAACAATTGTTTGTTTTTTCGAAGTTATAGCAAAGGTGTGTCTCAGTTGAACTTTTCCTTAATAAATGCACTTTAATGGTCAAATCAGCT